GGGCAGAGCCCACGCCCAGAACATGTGCCATTCTCCGTAAGCTGTCCCGGACAGGCATCTCGGAAGCTCAGGTTTAGGGTTTAGGGTTACGTCAAGGTGCCCAGAGACTCCAACATCCCGTAAATAGGGCATATTCCTGAAATCATACTAGAGATCCTACTATAATTTAAGGCATTTTCCTTGATTATGTATTGGAGTCTCTGGGTGTGTGCTTACGCTTCAAGGGTTTAAGAGTTTGTCGTTTCGGGTTAATTAGGAAGTCAGGCTTGGGGTTCAGGAATTTAAGGTGTAGGATTCATTTCGGGTTTTGGATTAAGGGATTTGCGGTTCAGTGGTTTGAAGATTTTAGGGTTTATAGGGACTTGTTTTTAGGGGCTACTTTTCGGATCCTTTTTGGGGTCTGGGAATACTAACCAGCACTACTGTCTTAGACCCTAGACCCGACCTGGAGCAACCAATGTACCCTTATGCACCCCAAGCCCCAAACCCCGTTCCTTAATGATTTACTTGGTTCCTGAGTAAGCCCTTGACAATAAGGGTTCCCTTTTTCCTAATATTTGGTTTTAAGGAACTCGAAAACAAAATGGCAAAAGGGTACGACTCAGGAACCTGGTAGACCCTAAACCCCCATAGATCCCGCATAGAACCCTTGAAAGATCCCTTATAGAACCATTGAAGGATCCCCTTAAGGAACCCTTTAAGGAACCCTTTAAGCTTCCCCGAGATATGTTGAGAAGCTTTTAAGGACTCCCCTCAGAGCTTACCTCACCCTCAAATATTTAAGGTTTCGGGTTTGCTGTGAAGGTGCGCGGATTAGGGTTTAGGGTTTGGGGTTCAGGGTTCGCTGTGAAGGTGCGCCGCAGCAGTGAAAATTATGCACAATTGATGGAGGCACCGAATACATGCAGCAATAGCCCGACGTGGAGGCCGTCCCACAGAAATAGACCTACCTCACACCATCCATCGCGGCCAAACCTATCAAACCAGCTCGTTCTGCGAGTTAAGGCAGACTCTCTCAGTCAAGAGTTTCGGAGTCTCTGGATTTGTTTATATATATATATATATATCAAGACAAGAGATACTGAGGATGCCACGGCAGGCGAAACCAGGGTAGTCACTGCGCTTGTTGCTGTGGATGGTGAAAAAACCTGGTGGAGAGGTTTGCGACTAAACTCGAAACCCGAAGCCCTAAACCCCTCCAGGGTTCGAAAGCATTCATACTTATAGGATCATGGGACGGCTCAGAGCTAATACCTAAGTCTTCGGTGAATCAAGGTTAAGGTTTTGTCGGTGTTGTACAAGGGTATTATAAGGACCGGGCTTTACCTGCTTCTACAGGAATTCTTTGTGGGTTTGTGGAGCTGTGTGGTGTTTCAAGGAGTTTAGAATGAATGGGGCTTGAACGGCTAGGTCCAGGTTAAGAGGGATTATGGCTCCGCAGTTATTGCAAGAACTCTCATTAAGCTCTAAGCTTCACAACCAGACACTATCAGATTGAATCATGGAAGAATAGGGTTTGGGGGCATATTATACTATGCTCATAACAAGGAACCCCAAGTTTGTACAGGTAATTATTGAGGTCCCTGTAGTTCATGGACCCATCGTGGTGTTAACTTAAGCACGCGGCAAACCTTTACCAGAAATCGGCCCAAATTCTTCCTAAAGTCTTCATAAGTCTTGTAAACAACTCTGACGAGCCCCTAAACCGTAAACCTTAAACCCCTAGACCTTCAACCCTATTAATTAAAAACCTGAAACCCCCGACCGCCCTAAATCTAAACCTTTCGCCCCAAAACCTAAACCCTACCCTAAACCCTAAACCCCAACCCCTAAACCCTAAACCCCAAACCTTAAACCCCAACCCCTAAACCCTAAACCCCAAACCTTAAACCCCAACCCCTAAACCCTAAACCCCAAACCTTAAACCCCAACCCCTAAACCCTAAACTCTAAACCTTGCGCCGTGGGCCCTTCACCGTCGACTTCTGAGGGCAGGGCCATCGCTACAGCTGGAGCAGTCTGCGCCTTGGTATCCCGACATGCCTCGGCTGGCTGAATATAGGGGCCCCTTTGTAATTAGAACAGGGTTCCCCAAAAAAGGAGTCTATATAAGGGGTACTATAATGGAGAGAAAAAAGGGTACTATAATATAGGGGCCTTGATAGTTAGAATAGGGTTATGGGGCCCCTTATACTATAATTACAATAAGGAACCCCTCAAAATAGTGTAGGTGAATATTAAGGTCGCCCTAAAAGTAGAGCTTCTATCTCGTAAGGGTTTTGCGACGGCTTGGGGCTTAGGGCTTCGAGGGCTTAGGGCTTAGAGCTTGATTCTCAGGAGGTCTTATCGGCGCATTTGCAAGCTTTGATTTTATGAGGGTTCGGAGGGTTTGGATTCGAATTGTGGCTCAGGGTTTGGTACAATCTGCAGACCCTACTTCCGTATTTCCTACACCATATATGCGAAGTCTTAAATCTGCAGCTCCGCATTGAATGATGGACCCAAAGATGCTAGCTGTGATCCTTCTATTAGACGCTAAGGGTCCTCAGTACCTATACCTATATAGTAGAGAAGTAAAATGTGAGTTTCTATAATAGGAACTACTGTCATGGTTTGGGCAAGTTTCCCCCATATGTAGGTGCTTAGCAGCCTTTGGGAGAATCCGCATGGACGTGCACAGTTCGGAGAAAAAAAACAGAGAGGCATACGCGGTTTGGGATATTCGCAGCTTCCTTTTAAAGGATTCTATTGAGGGATCTAGAGGGGTTTAGGGTTCAGGGTCTACTTAAAGGATCATGGGACTTAGGGTTCCCTAAAGGGCTCCTTAAGGGGCTCCTTTTCGAGGTTGACGCGAAAGTATTGGCGGCAGGAGCTTTAGGCTTTAGGAGCTTCGGGGTTTGGGTTAGGGACTTGTCGGTTGAGGCTTCTGGGCCCGAAGACCATACCCCCCAGGGTCCAAAGGACCCAATAACTGGGTACTCGGTTTTACCTCATCTTCGGAAACTCCAATATACTAGACCTAAGAGTAACCTAGGAACAAAAAGGTTGCCCTTTTTGGTTTAAAGGACCTTATAAGGGAACCTAGACCCTAAAAAAAGGGAATAAGGGCCTACTCTGGGTCCTAGTATACCATGCGCACATGAGGTTCCTGGGCCAAGTTGGGTCTCAAAGCTGATAGACTTGAGGAGCCTTGAGGCTGGTAATCAAAGGGTAAATGGAGGGACCCCTAATAAGGACCCCTAGGTATAAACCCATAATATAGCCATTATATATACCCATTATATGGCCCATTATAGGGTAGGGGTCCCCGTTAAGGGTCCCTCCTTTTCCCCGGTGACATATGTTCAGAACGATAGCAGTGCAGACGTTGCAGTACCCGATGCCTCTTGCAAGGAGAAGCCCCTGCAGTTCCCTTATTCCTTGAAGCCTCCCTAACCCAGACCCCCGGGAGGATCCAGAAAGTAGATCCCCTAATTAATTTGGGGCCCTATACTACTAAGGGTACTTTATAGGAACCCCATTAAAGGATCTACTTTTTGGATCCTTCCGGAGGTCTGGGAACCCTTAATTAACTCTAAACCAGAAGCCTCAAGCAGTAAATGGCTAGCATATCTTTGAGGAACCCTTAGCTAGGTCGCTTACCGGGTGCCTATTATGTACTAGTATGGTAACTAATGCTTACAGGATTTGGCGGCGCAGAGTCTGCAGGTGCAAGACCTGAGGGTGAAACCGTTGCGGCTGAGTGGCTACAACCCTCAGGCCCACCTACACGCTATGACTCAAAACCCGAAACCCTACAGCCCTAAACCTTCCTGAAACTTGAAAACTTCAAACCCTAACCCTAAACCCTTCCAAACCCCAGCCTAATGCCCTAACCATAATCCCTAAACCCTAAGCCCTAAACCCTAAACCCCCAACAACAAACACAGCACGAGCTTTTTTGTCGACTCCCCCGGTCCGCATGCCCATTTGGGCGTTCTTGCTAAAATATGGGACCCTAATATACCCTAAGGCTCCATGTACCCATATAGTATAGACTGAGGCCTTAAAGTACCTATATAGGGACCCCTTTAAGGCTTCAGTATCTACTATAAAGATACATGGAGCTTTTGGGATAGTACCCGAAATAATAGGATCCTGATTATAAGGACCCCAAAATAAGGTACCCTTAATTTTCGGAAGCTCCCATTTGTTGTTGGGTACTTGGAGGGGCTGAGGGTTTCGGGAATCGGATTCGGGTATGTGGCTTAGGGTTTAGGGATGCGGATTTGTGGCTTAGGGTTTAGGGTTTAGGGATTCGGGTTTGTGGTTAAGTGTTGAGGGTTTAGGGATCATGGCTTGTGGTTTAGGGTTTAGCGTTTAGGGATGCGGATTTGTGGTTTAGGGTTTAGGGTTGAGTAGCCACCCCAATTAGGGTCCCTTTCAGGATACTTGTAGACCCTCCAAGTAGGGCCCGGTGCAGACTTTCTGACGCATGTATTGGCGCTGACGGACAACCTCTTGCACCATCCGTTACCATGATGTAGCATAGTAGCATAAATGCCAGGGTTCAGGGTACTTACGGTGCTGCAGAATTTGTCCATCAGGAGAAATTAACGCTACTCATACTCCTTCGTTGGGAATTGCAGCTCTGGCTTCCATTATGGATCACAGTGCTGCATCAACACTGCTCCAATTCCCTCGCCTGGGTGCTTGGGTTTACGATAGCAGAAATAGAGGTGATAGTGTACTGGGGAGTACATGCTCATCAGGTACTTGGACCCCTTAGGTGCATAAAGTGCTTCGAAAAACTGCATGACACGAATTGGCTGCCACATCGGCTTTGCAAGAAAATTTCGCCCGAAATCCTCCGCACGCAGACCCCGAAAAACACAACTCTACAAACAACTCCAAATACGTACATCGCCCTTCCAGTCACCATTGGCATAACACTACGATGCACCCCCAACTTTCAACCGTGTTCTAATTAGCAAGAACCCTTCAACAAGCGCCGCCTCAGGCTTAGAGCGCAGTTATTGTTCTACGGCACACAAGTTCGTGACCATTCTCAGGCTCGGATGGCTTCTGCAACTGATGCGGAAGGCCAACACATCGCCTGTCTTCGAGGTTGAAGTTCGGGGTCACGGGAAATCAGACTGGCTTTCAAATACTTAGCCTTTATATTTACTCTTTTCTCACTCGTATATGCCATCAGCATATTGTACATATACATATATATATATATATATATATATATATAAATAGATTGGGTTATTTAACATGTTATATATATATACACATGCAAATGATGTTGGTCTATTTATATAATATACAAGACTTAAGACCCAAAAAGAGCCAGAAGCCTTCTGTGGGATGCTCCTTCGGCCCCAAAACCATGAAAAGTATCCGTCACCAGAGTCTCTCATTCAAGCTTCTCCTGGGACTCCGGGACCCAGAGGGTCCATATATGAGAGTTTCCGGAAATTCGGGGCACCTTAGGGTTCCTTTAAAGGGATCCTTTAAGGGTTCCTTACAGGGATCTTTAAGGGTTCTATAAAGGGTCTAGGGTTTAGAGTTTCCGGAAATTAGGGGCACCTTATTTGGGGGTCCTTATAATAAGGATCCTACTATCTAGGGCACTATACAAGCGTCCTCCTGTTTTCGGAAACTCCCATATGCTACCATTATAGAATTAAGTCCCAAAAGACCGTCCAAATTGTGGCAAATTCCATAAATAGTAGTATATATTATTATGGACCCTCTGGGCTAGGATGTGCCAGAGTTCTTCTGGAGCGATACGAAACCAAGAGCCTGTTGACAAATCGATAACTAGTTGTGGAAACCTAGGCGGAACCCGAATTTCGAGAACTACCTTGATTTTGCTCGTCTGGTAAAAGGGTGCGACGTTCCTTCGGTAGGATTCGAGGTTTAGAATGGCTGTCTACCTGCGTCACCTGTGAGATTCTATGAGATTAGATATGGCACGAGGCTGCTTGAAGGTTCACGCATAGTCCAACATACCGACATGGCACGAAATGCGGCATACCCGACTGATTGCAGGACCTCTGCTGCAACCGGACCCTAAACCCTAAACCCTAAACCCTAAACCCTAAAATAGGGTTTAGGGTTTAGGGTACGCATAAACCACCAAACCCGAAGCCCCAGGATTTGAGAAATCGCCCAAGGTGGACATGACTCCCAGAGAACCCAATACCCCTTAATTAAGGAATATACCTTAAAATTACAGGGGCCTTAATATTATGATTTAAGGCATATTCCTTAATTAAGGGGTATTGGGTTCTCTGGACTCTACTGTGGTACAGTAGAAGCCAGAAAGTCCTAACCCCTTTAAGGTAAATTATAGGGGATCCTACCATTAATCCATATTCCAACTTTCTGGAGTTGCCTTTATAAGGATCACCAGCGCAAGCACCTTGAATACTTGAGCTTAGGTAACATTGAAAGGTACATTCCATGCTGCTTCCCTAAACCTTAAAGTCTGCCGCTGGACTTTAGGATGTGTGTGTGTGTGTGAATGCAATATTGTTCGACCGGGTCTTCTATTACTATACTACAGTACTGGGCTTTGATGTAACCAGGGAGAAAGAAGTATAGACTTTTATTTCATAATGGTTCCCCTTAAGTAACAGGTCCCCCAAAAAGTATGCAAGTGTGGCACTCCAAAGCCCAGAATAGCCCGAAGCCCTGCTTTGATCGTATTGAAGGCCCTGCGTTTGCCAGAAAACCCCTAATTACGTTGACGATCCGCTAATCTCCCCCCAAGATCCTGCTTCAAATGTATTTAAGGCCCTACTTAAAGGATCGTGGGACTTAGTAAGTGGGGTTGTAAGTACCTCAATTGGGGTTATACGTAATTATAACTGTAGCTACCTTACTCATAACCCCAGTTACTAAGTCCCATGACCCTTTACGTAGAATATACCCCCAAGCCCTGCTTGAATCAAACTTAAGGCCCAAAATTCACGGACAACCCAGCCTGCAGGAGAAGAGAAGCACGGCAAGTGACACCGTGGACAGAGAAAATACGGCAGTCCTTGGACACGGGGTCTGAAGAGTTGAAGAGTTTTGGTCCGAGTTTCTGTTTATCTCTTATTAAGGGGTCCCTTTAAAAGGGGTCTATACGGCCCTAAGGGTTCATGTGCCCAAATAGTACAAACTTTCGGGCTCCATGTGCCGATGTAGTCCTGGTTCCGTAGGTTTTGAGGTTTCAGGGTCAGATAATTGGGTGGAGGGGCCAAGGTTTCGGCTTAAACCCTATATGGGAGTCTCCGAAAATTAGGGGTGCCTTACTTTGGGGGTCCTTAAAAATTTGGATCCTGCTATTTGGCGTACCATGTCAGGGTCCCCTGTTTTCGGAAACGCCCATATAAACTCTTTACAGAGAAGGGTCCTAGCGTTCTTCACAGTCCAAGGTAGACACCAGGCCACCGATGCAGCATGCCGTCTCTGAGGGTCGAAGTACCTACTAATCATATACTCCCCAGAATACTAACAGTTACACCTTAAACTCCTATGGATCCTGAAATTTCGGGGCTTTAATAATTAGAATACGGCTTTAGGGCATTGTACTATAAATAAGGAACCCCCGAAACAGTATAGAAAGCATTTAGGTCCCTATATTACTTGGCGCGGACGTCCTGGATCCTTGGATGACAGATGCCCCCTGGGAGTGCTTCAGCCTCAGCAGCACCCTTGCCGCCACCGCCGCCAGCATCACTTACCATACTGAGGACACCATATGATCTACTATAGATTCCAGTTACGGTAACTTAAAATAAATTCTTGAACAAGAACCCAGTAACTGTTCACCCTTGGCCTCAACCTCGTTGCCGCCTCCACCTTTTGTGCCTCCTCCATCACCCCGAGATTATAGAGACTCCAAATAGCCCTTAATTAAACCCTTAAATCGTGTTAGTTGTTTCAGTACAGAGATATATTTTAAATCAGTGATACCGGAGTCTCTGGGACCATGTTATGCAAAAGCATAGCGCCTTTATTATGCACACATAGGCAGTCACAAGAGGCAGGCTGTGTCCAACAAACAATTGCCGACAGCGCCTGTCGACGAAACCCACCCTAAGGGTCCAAAGGAATAACAAATTGGGTACTCGGTCTTAGGATAGTAGTTATGTAGGTTAGGATTTTGGAGAGTATATGATTATTAGAATGTATCCAGATAGTATATACTTAGGCCCGAAAGTGCCTTTTAGGCGCTACCTTAAGGGCAAAGTATCTACTATTTGGGTACATGGACCCTGAGGGCCCACGATCCTGAAACGCAACCTACGGTCGCCTCTGTGGTTCCTTCCCCCAAAGGCTCCATGTAACATTAAAGTAGATACTCAAGCCTTAAAGGGGTCCCCATATACGTACTTTAAGGCCTAAGTATATGCCATATGGTTACATGGAGCCTTAGGGAATTACGGTTCTTTTGTCAAAACAGTTTCGTAGTTAGGAATCTATCGTTTAACCCCAGCAAAGGAACTACAATAGAGACTAAAGGCAAAGCCCCCCAATAAAAGTCACTCCCTGAGCGGCCCTAACCGAAATGCCCCAGGCCGAAAAAGTGATGTGGTGGCCTTATTAATAATCGGGTCTTGGCGGTTTGGGGTTCCTTCATGGTATAAACATAATAATATTAAGTATCTCTACGAATAACAGTGTTATATATGCTTCTATATTATCCTCACACCACCCTTGGGCTGCAGGAACCTAAATGATGGGTTGCTGGCTTGCGGCTTGCGTCTTGCGTGGTCAGTAATCTGCTTGTTCAGTAGTCACCCAGAGATTAAGGGCCATGGCGGCCGCACAGGACATTAGATCCAAAGCAAACCCTGAAAACCTGTCGAACGCCGACCGAAGACCAAAACAAAGTCCAGGATCCAAAAGGCAATCCTCAGCCTGCCCACCATAAACCCCCAAATCCCTAAACCATCCTAAACCTTAAACCCCTAAACCCTAAACCCCCTAATTAAACGGAAAAGGGCGCTCCACACTGTAATTAAACCCTTAACCCCATCCTCAGTCCATCGCCTGAAACCCCGTAGGCCCCATTGTATGCATTAAAAGAACCCGAACTATGCACCGGCAGAACAGGGAGACCACGGCCCTAAAGCCAAGCCCTAACAGCCCGGCAACATGGCAATCCTGCATTACCCAGAGACTCCAAAACCCCTTAATTAAGGAATATACCTTAAATTATTGTAGGATCCCTAATATGATTTAAGGAGTATTCCTTAATTAAGGGGTATTGGAGTCTCTGGGTACCCATAGTAAGGAATATACCATTATTCCCATAGTCTAGGGCCTCAAGGGCAATGCAGGATTTATATCATCAACCGAAGCACTCCCTACAGGCCCGAAGTGTATACTATATGGGCACATGGACCCTTAGGGAAAGTTGTCAACGAAGATTCGCTTGCAACACCAAATGGGACTTTACCAAAACTAGGGGTACCTTAGAAGGGGCCCCCACCCTGTAATAGTGGTATAATAGGAATATAATAGGGCCCTAATATAATCCTTATAGTCACTATTACAGGGTGGGGGCAGCTTCTAAGGGGTACCTGTTTTCGGAGACTCCCGAATCACAACTAAACCCCAAAACACATGAACTCACACTCACATACAACAAAAAACATACTAAACCGAAAATCGAAGACCCCACCCCACCGCCCTTGACCTCAACAGTGGCACATAAAGTGTCATGAAGGATAATGGGACTTAGTAATTGGGGCTATAAGTATAAGGTAACTACACTTCTAATTACCGTTACCCCCCAATTAAGGTACTTATGACCCTACTTACTAAGTCCCATGATCCTCCAAGTCATGAAGGAGAGACACCCAGGAAATAGCTCATAGGGCCCGCTGTGTTCCATATCAAGGAGGTGCAGATTCCAACCTTGGGCCATATAGGGGATTTGTTTTATAACACTTAGAATAGGGTTCCCTTTTAAGGGTTCCGTTAAAGGTGTCTATAAGGGTTACTATGAGGGCTACTATAGGGCTACTACTTGGAAGGGCAGGGGACTTAGTAAGTAGGTTATAAGTAGGGTTATAATTGGGGTAACTCGATTTAGGGTACTTATAACTCTACTTATAACCTACTTACTAAGTCCCCTGCCCCTCCAAGTAGACCCTAAACCCTAAATCCCATAGATCCCTTTAAGGAACCCTATAGATCCCTTTGAGGAGCCCTTTAAGAGCCCTTACTAAGTCCAACTATTTTAGGGATTTAGTGTAGGGGCCTTAATAATTGGAATGGGGGTCCGTTTGAGTCGGACGGGACGACGCTTGGCTTGTGAGGTGCATCCCATGGTCTTACGCAGCTTTTTGGGGTTCCCAAGGAATCCAAGGACTTATGTTAAGGCTTTGGGGACCAAAGACCATACTTTTTTCGGCTTTTGGGCTATTTTGAGGCCCAGGGGTTATAGGAGCCAACAAGTCGGCGTCGACGGCTGTGGTGATGTCTACTTTGTTTGGCGGGGTCTTGTAGGGTTTTTGTTACAGAACGCTTGGGTTTTATGGTCTGGGTTTTGTTGATGGCGGGCTGTTTAGTTTGGTTCAAGACTTGTTCTTCCTCAAACCCCAAACCCTAAACCCTTAAAGCGACCCTTAAACGGACCCTCAAAGTAGTATAGGATCCCTTACCCAAAGCCTTGTATAGTATGGTCTTCAGGCCCAAAAGCCTTAATACATGAGTCCTTAGATCCCCTCTAAGCCGCAAACCCCTAAACCCTAAACTTTAACCCTAAACTCCCAAAACCCTTGAACCCCAACCCCCTAAACCCTAAACCCCTAAAGCCCCTAAAACCCTTGAACCCTAAACCCCTAAACCCTAAACCCTAAACCCCTAAAACCCTTGAACCCTAAACCCCTAAACCTTAAAGGAACAGCATTCCCTAGTTTGGCTCGCTTCTGGGGTTCGAAGCCTTGGAGCTCCCTGGTTTAGGTTTGGGGGGCTTAGGGTGTGGGGGGTTTAGGGTTTAGGGGGTTTAGGGTTTGGGGGGTTTAGGGTTTAGGGTTGAGGGTCTAGGGTTTAGGGTTTGGGGGTTTAGGGTTTAGGGTTTAGAGTTTGGGTTTTAGGGTTTGGGGGGTTTTGGGTTTGGGATCCTTTCCCTAGGGATCTAAGGACTTGTATGGGTGGTTGTCAAAAGTAGGGTCCCTTTTTGAATCCTTGTTTAGTACGGCACCTAATATTCAGGGTACCCAAAAAGAACCTTGATTTTGACAACTACCCATATATTAAGGCTTTTTGGCCCAATGGCCATACCATATAAGGCTTTTGTGCTACTTTGATCCCTAGGGCTCCTTTAGGGGGTTACTATCATGGTCCTTGAAGGCTTCCTCTAAAGGGTGACTATAATGGTCCTTTATGGGTTCCTTTTGGGTTACTATAAGGGTCCTTTAAGGGTTCCTTTAAAGGTTTACTATAATGGTCATTTAAGGGTTCCTTTAGAGGGATACTATAATGGTCTAAGGGTTCCTTTGAAGAGGGTTGGGGGTTTAGGGTTTGGGGGTCAGCGGTTTAGGGGCTTAGGGGGCTTAGGAATATAGGGTTCCGGGGTTTAGGGGTTCAGGGGCTGTGGGTGTAGGGGCTTTGGGGTTTAGGGGTTTGGAGATGAGTGTACAGTTGAGGGTTTCAGAGGTCCACAGGTTCGGGGCTTGGTCTCAGGAGGTGTCTGATGGGACTGCTCTAGACCCAAGAGTAACCTAGGAAGAAAAAAGGTGCCCTTTTTGGTTTAAAGGGGCGTATAAGGTAACCTGAACCCTAAAAAATGGAATAAGTGCCTACTCTAGGTCCTAGTGTTGGCGGCGGTTGCAGGGAGGTGAGTACTATCAGAGTGTACGGCTGCTACTGTTGGACACTTCCGTAGTTCTTGCAGGGACTTCATGGGAAGCGTCTAGATTACTCTGCACAAATTTAACTCCAATAACCTTGGCCACCGTATCCACAAAACATTAACTCCTACCAAAAGTTCTGGAAAAGCCTAAACTAAACCCTGATAGGATACCCCTACAATTCCCTACATTCTCAAATATCTGCGCCTTAACTACCCAAAGCCCGATGATCTATCCTGGAGCATCCTGAAAGACAACAGGCGCCTCTAACAAAAGGCGGGCTGCAAGCGATCTCAAAGACCAAAGCCCCGAGCATAATCAGGCACACAGCTCCTTGGCTGCTCTCACTGAACACGCCAGAACCTTTCCTTCTTCTGAAGACCCTGCTCTCCTACTGTTGGTGGTATAAATCCTTGGGGGTACCTTTAAAGGGATCTATAACGCTACCTTTAAGGGGCTCTTTAAAGAATCTATAGTAGGGTTGTTAGCGTTTAGGGTTTAGGGGTTGATGATATAAGTCCTGCATGACCCACAGTAAGGAATATACCATTAAAACATTCCCATAGTTTAGGGTCCTGAAGGTCATGCAGGATTTATATCATCGACCGTAAAATCACTACACTGACACCCAAAAACATTTTGAAGAATGGTTAAGGCGCCGAGAATGCAGCAGTTGATCAAGATCTCTCCGAGCCTGCTTGCGATTTCAGATCCCTTATATAAACCCTAAACCGCCCTAACCGTTAAACCCTGAACCCCTGAACCCCTACAGTAAAAGCCAGAAAGTTGGAATATGATTATCCTAAACCCTTTATGGTAAATTGTAAGGTATCCTACCCTTTAAACCGGCCGTAAACCCCAAACGGACACAAGACAGGGAGGGATGCCGGGTGCCTGCTGCCCCGTCGGCGTTGCAACCTTTCTGCAAGCCTGGCGTGCCCAGAGACTCCAATGTCCCTTAGTTAAGGAATATTCCTTAAATCATATTGAGGTTCCTACTATAATTCAAGGTATATTCCTTAATTAAGGGATATTGGAGTCTCTGGGTGCATGTGGGTAGTTATCAAAATTAGGATCCCTTTTTGGGTGCCCTAAGTATAGGTGCCGTATTCTATTAGGGACCCCGAAAACAACCACCCATGTAGAGCCGCATGTGGGAGTCTCCGAAAATAGGGGGGCCCTAATATAGTACCCTGAATAGTAGGATCCTGATTATAAGGACACCAGAAAAAAGGCACCCATAATTTTCGGAATGTCCCATGTAGAGCCGAGCAACCCGGAACCTCTTAGGTAAGCGTTTTTTCCTGACAGGGTAGTAAGGATGAGAAATATGGGAGTTTCCGAAAATTTGGGGGTACCTTATTCTGGGGTCCTTAGTATACGGATCCTACTATTCAGGGTACCATCTTAGGGTGTCCTATTTTCGGAAACTTCCAAATATGCCTACCTTGAGGCTCCATAGTAGTTCCTTTTTTAGGGGGCTCATATTTAGAATCCTATAGGGTAATCCCAAAAAGGAACTAACTATGGGTAACTCATACTGGATCCTTGGTACGATTCTTTACCTTTTAATCCAGGGGCCTTAGTAATTCGAATAGGGTTTCGGGGCCCGTTATGCTATAACTATAATAAGGACCCCCGCCCAAAAACAGTGTTGGTAATTGTTTAGGCTCCTGTACGAAAAACCCATAATACCCTTATAGTAATCCTTACAAACCCCTTTAAGAGGAACCTCTAAAGATCTCTAAAGGAACTCTATTCTACTTCTTAAGGCTCCTATAGTAAGGGGCCTGGCAGTCGATGCGGGGTGGTGTGGTATGTCGCCCCTGGGTATCGAACCTATAGTCTCCATCGTAGTTCCTTCTTGGGGTTACCTTTTAGGGTTTAGGGTTTAGGGTTTAGGGTTCAGGGTTTAGGGTTTAGGATCCTTAATATACAATTGGTTAAGCCAAAAAAAGGAACTACAATGGAGACTATAGGAATGTCATACTCTTCAAGCCCCAAGGGTTTAGGCTTCCGGGTTATATAAGCCTACGCCCTAAGGGTCCATCTGCCGAAGTGGTATCTACGAGTAGTCTCTTTTGGTGCCAAACTGTATACCACTTGGGCGCATATACCCCTTTTCCCCAAACCCCTATGGTAGCTTCAAAGGAACCTTTTTAAGTACATGGTCCCTTACTTGGAGCGGCAGGGGACTTAGTAAGTAGATTATAAGTAGGGGTATAATTGGGGTAACTCCATTTAGGGTACTTATAACTCTACTTATAACCTACTTACTAGGTCCCCTGCCCCTCCAAGTAGACCCTAGACCCTAAACCCCATAGATCCCTAGGAACCCTATAGATCCCTTTAAGGAGCCCTTTAAGAGCCCTTACTACGTCCCATGATCCTCCAAGAAGGGTTAGGGGTTCGACGCCCAAGGCCTGACGGCCACGAAGAAAAGCGTTGGGAGCACGCCGCACGACCAGCCGATGCCACGGACAAACTCTCTGACAACGGCGAAAATCCGCCTGCGTGTGTTGCATATTGCAAGAACCTAGGTTTAAGAGTTTTGGGGCTTTGGGTTCTTGTGTGAAGAAGGCTACAGCCGGCTGAAGGGTTCAATGAAAGGGTTTAGAATTTCGGGTTTGACGTTTGGGGTTACCTGGATCGAGGGGTAGATGACTCAGTTTTTAAATAGAGACCTGGGACTTCCGGCGGAGCTGATGCTATTTCTCGAAGTGGACACATGGACCCTTAGGGTAAGCCCATAAACTCTGATTTGAGGCCCAAAGCAACTCCAGACCCCTTTTATAGGGGTTCCAATATGTAATCAGAATAGGGTTTGCGGGGTACTATATACTACGATAATACAAGGGACATGGGCTTCAAGGGAATGACACAACCAATTGTTTCGGCTGCTATATATTCCACCCTAGCAGAAACGTGTGGTCTCATATGGACACTTTAGATGAGAATAAAGCGAGGGCCTCTGGGTTCTGACATCCCATCGTGGTCCCGACGTTGACGCAAATCCCCGACGAATAACCCCCCTCCCCCGATCCTTCATATTGGAACAGGCTCGTGCCATAGAGGACACTCAACCAATAGAGGCGTCTTTATCAAACGTTGTGATTAAATATGAGGTGCTTTCAGTCGAGGGTTAAAGGGTTAAGAGTGATGGGGTGGTTTCGAACTTCCACAGGGTTCACACCTGTCCCGGGCCGCCTGCTTTCGCCATAATGGTCAGCACCATGGCCAATAGTTGATGCCGAGTCCATAAAGTGCCAAAGCACAGGCATTGCTGATGCCGCACATTGCCTGTAGGTAAAGACCTCTCGCGTCAACCTGGGTCTCTTTGAGGTTCAAACAGGGACTAGGGCTTTAGGTCATCACAGGGTTTGGCGTTTGGGTAGCAAAGCCTGTTGCGTTCTTGATTGGCGGCATAAGATTCCCTGCGTGGAAGTGCAATGAAGATACAGTAACTAATAAGACTTTCAAGACCTGAACCCTAGACCTTGTTCACTATTTTCCGCAGAATAAAGTATCTTGCGCAGAAGTAGTGTAGAAACACGATAAGAAGGCACAGTAAACCTTAAACCTTCAAGAAAGTCACATCCATACTCCTGAGCCTCACCCACCGGTAATGGAGCTTAGGCTGAAAATGTTGGCCTGACTGTCCCAACATAATCTGCCACCTGGGTTTCAAGGTTTTTTGAAACCTAAACCCTCTAACCTGAGGAAAAGGGTTTACCGTGAAACCCTGGACCCTACACTGTTTCTTTTCATAAACCCTGAAGCCCTCAATTCTAATAGACCAAAGGGCCTCACCACCGCAAACCACATACCCTAAACCCTAAACCCTATAGCCCTAAACCCTAGGCCCTAGCCTAAGCCCTAAACCCTAAACCTTAAAGCCTAAGCCCTAAACCCTAAACCTTAAAGCCTAAGCCCTAAACCCTAAACCTTAAAGCCTAAGCCCTAAACCCTAAACCTTAAAGCCTAAGCCCAAAAAGTAAGCCTGAACGACCCCAAGCAACCCCCAGTAGGCTTACTTAAAGGATCATGGGACTTAGTAAATAGGTTATAATTAGGGTTATAAGTCCCCTAAGTGGGGTTATCCTAATTATAACCTACTTATAACCTTACTTACTAAGTCCCATGAGCCTTCAAGTAGGCTTCAGGGTGTAAGGGCTGAGGCTCGGGGGTCACCTGAACCTCCCAAACCTATAGTTAGGGTTTAGGGTTTAGGGTTTAGGGTCTAGGGTTTAGGGTTGAGTAGGCTCCCTATAAGATCAATATTTCGGTTTATGATAAGAACCTACCCAAAAATCTAGGGTTTGGTAGGTTAAGGTAGGGTTGAAACTCTGAACGGCCGAGCTGCTGTGCATCTAAGCATCTCGCAACCTGTCCATGGTTTTGGGTGGTTGTGTCTAACAAAGGGGCGCCATAAGCTTTATAATTAGAATTTGGGTACGGCCCCCATACAGTAAGAGTCTATAATAGGGCTACTATTAAGGTCCTACTATATCTATATTATGAATATTATTCAACTATTACTGAGTGGGGGGCCGTACCTGAATTAGAATGCGTCCTTTGAAAGGGGGCTATGAGGGTTGCAATAAGGGCCATGATAAGGATTCAGTATAGGGGCCGCAATAATTGGAATAGGGTTTTGGGGCCAGCTATACTGTAACCCCAAAACAGTATATGTAATTCTTTCTCGCTTATGTTAGGGTTCACTTTCTACGTTTTAGGAAGTACAGTAGAAGCCAGAAAGTTGGAATATGGTTTCAGGGTAGGATACCTTATAATTTACCTTAAAGGGGTTAGGATAATGATATTCCAACTTTCTGGCTTCTACTGTATTGTTCAGAGCTTCTGGTTTGGGGGTTGAGGGCTGACTAGTTACGGCATCGCGTCTGTGTTGTTAGGTGTTGATTGCTTACTGGGTCCAGGGGTGAGGGTTACATGTTCGTTGTGTATGGAACACCTGGGTTTGTAAATCCTATACCCCCCTTAGAACCATAATAAAAATAACATGTTCAATAATCTCTTGGGTTTTGAATCAACAAAAAGTCAAAAAATCCTGAGGAGTATAGAATCAGGCTAGTAGGGGTATATACAAGGCCATGGGCCACATATGCATCTCTTACTCCGAACACCCTAAACCCCAATCACGCAAACACCGAACTCGAGGTCTGAAACGCTCGAAACTGAACTTGAACCCTGACCATACTTGGAAGGGCAGGGGACTTAGTAAGTAGGTTATAAGTAGGGTTATACTTGGGGTAACTCCATTTAGGGTACTTATAACTCTACTTATAACCTACTTACTAAGTCCCCTGCCCATCCAAGTACCCCTAAGGGTCCATGTGCCCGAATAGTAGATACTTTGGCCTTAAAGTAATCCCTAAAAAGGTACTTTGGGGCCGAAGTATATACTATCCGGGTACATGGACCCTTAGGGTACCTAGAGGCTCCATAGCAGTTCCGTTTTGGGGTTGATATATAGAATCCTATAGGGTAATCCCAAAACGGAGCTGCTATGGAGCCTATGGGTAAACTTGCAAACCCAAAACCCGATAGTTCGAGGTTCGGCTTGGGGACCTTACCCCAACCGTCCAAACGACCCAATAATTAAGTACTCGGTTTTAGGATAGTAGTTATGTAGGTTAGGTTTTTATAGGGTTCTGGGATCAGGATCTGATCTGTTTAAATTAGTTGCTGTGTTCACAAGCCTCCCAAAGTGTATACTTTCAGTTTGATATTGGGTAATATTATCCCGAAAATGGTAAAGTGTATCCACTCAGCTACTAAGTTAAATTAGGGCTTATACTTCTGGGGGTCACAGTCAGGGTTTGGGTCCGAAGGTTTAGGTCGCAGGAAGACTAAGACGACATAGGGGTTTAGATCGCAGGAACACATTGCAAACACGCAAAAGAGAACATGGAACCCTGACGGCACGTGGAATCATCAGAGAAGCCGTATTCAACTCAATAAGATCCCTTACTTAAGGATCCAAATACCCCAAATCCAAGTTGTCTCTAAATCACCTAGAACATCCTCCGAAATAATGTTTGCCTGCTTGGACCCTTAGGGACAAAGATCCCTTGCAGGACCCCTGGCCACCCCAAAAGCTGTTTTTGGGGTTCAAAGGCATTGAACCTCCTGATAAAATCCCTCCTTCTTAGCTTAATAAGGCTCAAAGCTTGAACAAGCTTTCGGGAACTGAGTAGTGCTTCGTTATATTGATTGCAAACTCAAAACCCTATAAACCCTAAACCCTAGCTTTCAAGGATTCCATCCTAAGACTTCTCCTTCGCACGCTCACAAGAAGGAACGCTGATGAACTTAGTTCGGGCTACAGGGAAGCCTTCAACCCAAAAACCCGCATCGCAAACCGTGCAGGCGTGCAGGCTATGTTGGAAATCCCGAAGCCTCAAAATCCTAAGTAGTAAACCCTTAGCCCGGAACCCTTATCTGGGTTGGCCTTTAGACACCCTGAGAAATATTTATATATAGGGTCCCTTATAAACCCAAATAAGGAAAATAAAAAATGTCCCCAAATCCAACCTAGTTATAGATCCTAAATCCTGAACCCTCTCTCCAAGAACCCCTGCAAACTTGTGGCACTCTGCACCTGCTCCCGAACTCGGGTCTCGAAGTTGCTGAGACTGCCGAACCTGTGATGCCGAAAAAGTTCCCAAGGGGTCCTATGTACTGTTATGGGGGATACTTCCCTGAGTCATAATAGTAATTCGTGATATGAAAACCCTACATTCTACTATATCGGTACATAAGACCCTTTGGGGTTTAGTGTTGCTTTCAATCGCCAACCGCCAAACCCTAAACGCCTGAACACTAGAGCCAAACCTTTACTCTGAATGTCATGCTCCCAAATAGTATATACTTTGGCCCTAGTGTACCGATATAGGGACCATGCCATAAAAACCATTCAGGATGCTGAATGTGGGGTTTTCTAGTCGACTGGAACGCACGTTGGCTGAGCCTTGGCTCCATGTCTGCCTCTTGCCCTTGCAGATGTACTTTCATTTTTTCAAGCCTGCAAACACCCAATGGTCATACCTTTGATCCTAAGCAGTAAATCCCAGACAGACCCTAAATCCCAAACCTTTAACCCTGCCTGCACCCCCCAACTACCCCCTAGTATACCCCAAATACCCAACCTTAATGACCATAAGAACTCTAATTGAGGATACTTGGGGAGTCCTGGTAGACCCCGTATCCTAAACCCTAATGCTCAGCCCGGCCCCTGGGCATCGAAATAGCCCAAGAGTCTTCTATAGTATGGTCTTGGGCCCAACAGCCTTAATATAAATATGAGTCCTTAGATTCCTAAGGTTCATGAGTGAGGGCTCCTAGGTCGACGTGGATATGCGGAGCTTGTGGGAGTTCAGCCGTCCCATGGCCCGAACCCAGAGGGTCCTAAGTACATCTATCCCAAAGGCTCCATGTACCTGTATAGTAGATACTTAACCCTAAACCCTAAACCCTAAACCCTAAAATTATGGCCTAAGTATATACTGCATGGGCACATGGAGCCTGAGGGTATGGGGGGGATACTTGCCCAAACCATAACAATCGTTCCTTCTCTAAAGACCGTACATTCTACTGTATATAGGCACTGAAGCCTCGTTGGGGTAAATCTGAGCCCAAGTATAAAGAACAGCTGTATGGGCCGTATGGGCCGATTTTGGTAAACGATCTTCCCCGAAACCCGAAACCCTCGGTATTTAGCGGCCAAGAAGCCAAGTAGTGATGCACTTAAACACGATCTTCCGATCGCAGGCCATCGCCGAACCGTCAGGCGCGATGTGGTCATTGCTGCAGCAATAGCACAAGGTGTCCTTGACAGCCTACGTCGACCCCCCAACTACCCTCTGATGCCTCCATTAAATTAAAGGGCTGTTGGGGGGGGGTCCTGGTGAACCCTAAACCCTGAACCCTAAACCCTCAACAACTCTGGCCTCAGGCTTTGACAATAGGCATACTGTACGAGGTGCTTAGGAAGTGCTTAGGACTCCTAGGGTTTAGGGTTTAGGGCTTAAAACCCTGAACCCTAAACCCTGAACACTACATCCTGAACTTTAGGACCTAAACTTAAAACCCTGAACCCTCAACTAGCGTCTTGTCCTTCACGGAGAACTGGTGCACTATTGTCTCGATCTCGCTGACAGAGCGGAAGTAGGCACGGAGCGTCACAACGCTGAAGTAGAAGAAAACGAAGGCACATGCTCCGAACCTTTGTGCTTAGGTGCTGGGCTCGAACGGCTAGTTTTCAGAACTTAGTCGGGCCATGTGGTATTTTTTGAGGACACCTCGTACCAAAAGCAGGCAACCCAAGGTACTATTCAGGGCTTTCAAGGTTCATGGTTTGGATCCGTTCTGGCGCCGTCTTTTCTGCTCACGGAGAAACTGTTGGAGAAGGATGTGCACGTGTACTTTGAACTCAGTCTCGTTGAACACTCTTGCACCATCAGGCATAAAACTCACACCCCCCAATTTCTGAGCTGCAAAACTTACAAAGCCTTGAACCCTTACACCCTTGCAAAGCCCTTACAACCCCAAACGTCAAGCCCTCAAACCCTTGCAAAGCACGTGCAACCCCAACACATTGAACATAAGACCCTAAACTCCTGAACCCGAAGCTCTTATGACTTTAAAGGGGTCCTGTATGGGTTACTCTCCTAAAACCTAACCTATGTAACTACTATCCTAAAACCGAATATATATATATATATATATATATATATATATATATATATACATATACACACATACATACACATACATACATACATACATACATACATACATATATATATATATATATATATATATATATATGCTCGCCCCCCCCCATGATCCACCATTGGCGGTCTGGCAACGGTCGATCATGGGGAGTGGGGGGCGTTATGCAAAGTGCCCATCGAAATAGAGCTAGAGAGTATGGGATTTATGCTTGCGGGGAAGGGTTGGTTTTTTAGAAGCCTTTGCGTGTGCTGTCTCCAGAGCGGATCCGTTATCTAGCCATCTTGGGTGCAAAAAACTGCCATACAAGTAATTTGAGAAATACAGCTGTAAGGAAAGTCTTAGTAAAACCAATGGTGGCGCCAAAAAGCTAATTTTCGCAGTAGGCCACGGAGGTTTTTCAGTCCAAATACGTTTATGGCAGTTTTTACATCCCAAATCCTTGGGAAATCGTTTTGTTGCAAAAAATCCTAGGCCGGCAGTAGTGAAAAATGCGGTGAAAAACGCTTCTTATATATATATATATATACACACATACACACATAAATATAAATATAAATAAATAAATATATATATATATATATATATATATATACATATATATATATATATATATATATAGATATATATATATATATATATATATATAATTTTCAGGTCCTTTGGACCCTTGGGGTAACACCAGCACAACCAAAGCGAAACCCTAGATCCGAGTCTTCCCCAGAGAACCCAATACCCCTTAATTCAGGAATACCTCGTAAATTATGGGGGGGTCTTAAAATTGTGATTTAAAGCATATTCCCTGAATTCAGGAAAATTCCTGAAATCATATTAGGGATCATACTATATTTTAAGGTATATTCCTGAATTAAGGGGTATTGGGATCTCTGGGTCAGGCAGGGCAGCGTCGGCCACAAGATGTAAGCAACGGGAAATTCCATGCCAGACTCCTCCGTTTTAGGGGTTGGTTAAAGGTTTGGAATTTAAGAGTTTCGGGATAGTAGGGTTCAGGGTTTGGGGGTTTATGGGCTTAGGGTTTGGGGTAAAGGGTTCTCAACGCGCTGGCGAGGAAACAAAACACCCAGGTACACACCCTGAGATGTATGTCCCAACCCTAGCTTGCGCTCCACTCTACGGTTTGGATCCTTGTGGTTTCAGAATTAACGATGCTAGTTGCGGATCAGTGCTGGTCCAGGGGAGAAGGTGTTCCGGTACGGGGCCCGACAGGTTGTGGGGAGGCGGGCTGCCGAGCAGGTCGGCCCTTACTTGCGAAGGGCTTAAGTGCCACCTGGCCAGGCGGTGTTTTGGGTTTATAATTTTTAGGGTTAGGGTTTAGGATTTGGGACCTGTTCACCCCAGAAGACAATAACAGAGGAAAAGCAATAGCAATGTACATTTCTGGGATAATGCTTCTCTCCGGCGTGGCTGGCTCGCTGGCTTCGGAGGGATCGCCCTGCTTGAAGCGTAGGGGTTTAGGGTTGAAGCTTGGGGGTTTAGGGTTTAGGGTTAGTGTCTGAGGGCTTCGAGGTGCAGGGTCCTCGAAAATAGCCCATGGGATGAATGGCAGAAGCACCACGACGCAAGAGAGCGCAATCGGCAATGAGACCAAGCACCTGGGCTCTTCGATTCAAATCGAAGGGAGGGAGAAGGTTTCATCCAGGTTATACCTTCAGCCGGAAGAACCTACCTTTTTTAAAGGACTTATATAAGGAAATCATAGTAAAGAACCCTAAAAAGGTAGGTTATTCCGGCTTAAGGTAGGGTTTAGGGTTTACGGTTTAGGGTGTTAGAAAACTCCCGCTGTAAAGACTTCCCTGGTAAGTTTACTTTCCTGCAACAACTGACCGTAATCTCTAAACCGAGTATACCCTAAATAAACCCTCAATCCCGAAATAAAACCCCTGAATCCATAGCTCCAGGCCACGGGCCCAGGATTGTCGGACGGATCTCAAGATTTGGCTTCCTTGTGGTACCGCGGCTATGCAGATAGCCCGCCAATTCAAAGACACACCTTGGTAAGGATCTCCAAAAAGACCCACACCTGCTTAAAGAGTTATGGCATCTAGACACCAAGGCTATAAGTAAAGGTAACTAGGTAACTATACAAATCTATAGTTACCCTAAGGCTCCATAGTAGTTCCTTGTTTAGGGTTCATACTTAGAATCCTATAAGGTAACCACCGAAAAGGAACTACTTTGAAGCCTCTGGGTAGAGCTACCTAGAGCACAAAATGAGGTATGTATTGTAACCCTGAGGCCCTGAGGCTCGGAGTGACGAAATAATGCCCTACTTGTCGGGTATCATGGGGAACTAAAGGTGAAGCTTTTTAATTCTGATCATATAGAATAGTTTTACACAGGGATTATACTGCAAGAATAGGGTGTTACTTAAGCATCACAACCCTTTCAGGCTGTGGAATCGGAACCTGAAAACCCACCTGTATCCTCTCAGAAGCTTACTATATCCCATGATATTGCAAGTGTTCTGCAATGATATTTATTCTTCTGGGGTCCACATGCAACCACAAAGCACATAAAGCTCGTGATCCGCGGCTGTGCTGATTCCGTTACTAAGTTTCAAAATCTTGTTGCAACGCCGGTCGATGATTTAAAATCCTCGTGTCTGCGGATTCCGATGCGCTAAACTAAACGCTCCACCCGCCCACCATGCACCCCTCTCCTCAGCTCCGTCCCGCGCCAGTGAAAACCATGCAGGCATGAACAGAACCAAACTCCCTGACCTGGCCGGGCCCTGAACCCGGGGCGAGTTTTCAGACTCCACTTAAAGGCTCATGGGACTTAGTAAGTAAGTAGGTTGTAGTTAGGATAACCCCACAAAGATGACTTATAACCCCAGATATAACCTGTAAGTCCCATGATCGTTTAAGCATTCATGTGCGACATCGTGGAGCACCCGTGCTCTCGCGAGCTCCGCAAGCATGCGTGGATTTTCGCTGGCAGATTCAATGTAAAAGCTGATATCTACGGTCCAGAATGGCCGCTATTGACGGCTTCCCAAACCCCCGGGAGGATCCAAGAAGTATATAAAGTGCCCCTAGTAGTATAGGGCCCCCAAATTAGGGGATCTACTTTCTGGATCTTGCCGGGGTTCTGGCTTGGCAGGCTTGAAACCCTCACGCGAGAAGCTCGCTGCACGAGGGTGTGGGTCGCGGGCTGGCAGAATTAAAGCGGTTTAGGGTTTAGGGTTTGATGAGAAAGCTCTCCGGGCGAGCTTGTCCTCTGCTCTTGTCCTCTGTCGCACACTTCGCATGTTTCGATAAGAAGGCCCTTCGGAAGAGATTGTCCTCTTTTCCACACTTCGCCGTAGCGAGCGAAGTTCTCTCGCTTCACACATCTGCAGGATATCATTCATTCAAACGGCATACACCGTCTGATGTGAACCTAAATTCTCACATGCTCATGTTTTGATCTTTCAGGTTTAACTGTTGCAGCTGTTTGGCTTTCGCTGGCATTGGTTTGGCTTGCTATCAGTTGTGTATGTGTGGTCTTGACTTGGGGTGGGTGCTATCCGGCGCACTACCTGCCGAGCACGCCTATCACCCTAAAAACTATAAACCCTAAGGCGTCCGTAGCTCTACGAGGGCTGATGGACCTGCAGATTTCCGTAACAAGCTTACGGTCAACGCGTTTGGGAGCCAAGACTATACCGGAGTTTAGGGGTACCTAATTTTGGGGCCCTTACAATAAGGATCCTACTATTTAGGGTACTATGTTAGGGTCCCCCATTTTCGGAACCTCCCAGACTGTGTAATTAAGGCCTCGGGACTTTGTTGAATCTTACAGTCTTACAGGGCAGGTACGGGTTCAACTTTGGGGATGTTCAATTCTTGAATCTCTATCGAGGCACCCTCCTTTGGATAATCACATATGCGTCACCTCACACAAAGCCAGGCCCTGAGGTGAATACACAAAAAACAAGATCCAGTGGGAGACGCATCTCCTTCTCTCCTTTCTTCTATCATCCCTTCTCCCTAAAGGTCCATGTACCCAAATAGGATGTACTTTGGCCTTAAAGTACTCCCTATGTAGGTACATTGGGCCCGAAGTATATACTATTTGGGTACATGGTCCCTTATGGTTCTCGGAAAAGCAGAACTAGACGAACAGAAAGACATGGCCAAAAGCGGTCAGGAGCACCAGAGTCTATGGCAATAGGTCGTATCCCACAATACCAGCAGCTTCTCCGAGCACTTCAGGAAAGCCCCCATACTCAGAATCGCCTGACACTTTTCCTGCTCGTTCCTTGCTCATGGTTGGGATAGGATGAGAAAGTTTAATCTGTATTCCTTGTTGGGATTCAGTACCCATAACATGTAAAACGTCACCTAACTATGACAAAGGTTCTCCTGGTTGATGCACATCACATCCACAAAGACTTTTTGCCGCGGTTGCCAGAAGATAAACACAATGCAGTATAGCAAGGAGCCGGTGACGCTGCACCACCACGAGGTATACGGATACATAGGCCTTGGTACTCATGGAAAACACATCAGCACCCTCCGTTGACGATGGTTCGTAAATACTTCGGCCTTAGATTGGGGTCAACTAGGGTATAGGGAGTTGAGTTTAGCACAGGTTCTTGGACCCCTTGGGAAAATACAAGATCTTAGACGAGGCCCCAATTAACCAGAAGAGTCACAACCCATGAACCGGAATGTAAAAAAAAGATCGAAAACCTTACCCCTAAAATCCCCTAATCCCCTAAACCCCTAAACCCTAAACCCCTAAACCCTAAACCCCTAAAATCCCCTAAACCCTAAACCTCTAAACCGAAACCCTAAACCCTAAACCCTAAACCCTAAACCTCTAAACCGAAACCCTGGACCCGACATCCTAAACCCTGAAGCGACAAGGAGCTGCTCCTGAAATCGTGGCGGCAAAATCTCAGCACCCACGAGGACTGCCAAGAGAACGTTTACAAAGGTCGCCACTGCAGTTGCCAGCATGCCTAGGTTGGCGGAGGGGTTGCTACCCAGCTCAAGGGGTTTAGGGTCTTGGGGTTTAGCGTTTAGGGTTACTTTAACTACGGGGTCCTTTACTTTAACTAGGGGGTCCTTCTAAGATTTATTTCAACGTAAGTTTAAGGACTGCGTATGTTCAACCTTCTGCGCTATTTAAACCCCTGATCAATCAAACTTCTCTCCTCAGGGGCCGTAGAATCAGGAGCCCGTTCTAGTGCTGCAGTAAGGGGTTCATGAAGCAAGCATGGGATGAACGGCGAGATGTAGTGATAACATAATAACCAGAAATGACACTCATGCTAATCAGAATAACAACACTAATGATAATACTAATGCTCATGATAATAACAATAAGAGCAACACTGAGATTACTAATAGAAGTAACAAAATAATAACAACTGTTATTATCATCAGTATAATCACTGCAATTATGACAACCGTCATTATGACAATTTTTGTTACTGTTACTATTATTGATATTCTTTTATGAAGATTGCTATATACATATAGACACCTGTATAAATATAAGTATATATATATATATATATATATATATATATATCTAGAGAGAGAGAGAGAGAGAGAGAGAGAGAGAGAGAGAGAGAGAGAGAGAGAGAGTGTGTGTGTGTGTGTGTGAGAGAGAGATTCGCCCGAGCCTTGACCTGAAAAGGGATTGTTGGGTCCCTCAATCGGGCTGCGGCATCGCATGCTGAAGAGCACTCTAACACAGGTTAAATTAACCCAAAACTCTAAACCCTAAACAATGAACCATGCAACCCATAACCTGAAACCTCACAGCGAAGTTGCCGTTCTTCAGGTACATGGCCGTCAAGGCTTTGTTCCACTTCCGGCCGTGCCAGCTATGACTCCAAAACTCATCGATTTCCTGAGATGTCGATGTTCCAACAGTGTCAGGGCTTGGGTTCTAGAGGTGTCCAAACTAGAAACCAAAAAACTGGACGTCATCACCCTCGTGCCGTTAAGAGAGAACGTGGGGGTATTCATGCCAGCCCTACACATTCTTCATCCATGTTCAAACCGTGTGGGATTCACTGTGGGGCGGGGGGAGTCTGGGTGATCATGCTGCAAGCTTTTGCTCCGACACCGCTGTGATCTCAAGACAATGTCCAATCTGAGAGGAGCAGAGATACGATTTGCGAGGGCTGTATCGGGTTGGCCCAGGGAAAGTAACCTACTTGTCGGGGATCATGGGGAACTAAAGGGTTATACAGGGATTATACAGGGGCTATTCTACCCAAAAAAGGTTAGAGGTTACCTGCTCTACTACTTGTGTAAGAAAGCTGCGGGTTTAGAGCTCAGGGCTTGGCGCTTCGGGCTTCGCGGTTTGGGGTTTAGGGGTTTAGGGTTTAGAGTGCAGGGCTTGGCGCTTCGGGTTAGGGCTTGCACGGGTTTAGATGTGAGGCCCTACACCTTGAACCCAAGTTTTGGGGCTAGGATTCAATATAGAGGCCTCAATAATTAGAATAGGGTTGGGGGCCCATTATACTATAGGTATAATAAGGAACCTACAAAAAACAAGAGTATCGGAACTTATTAAGGCCCGTATTTTAGGCCAGGTGGCAGTGGTTTCGAAAGATGCATCCGCCATGCCAGGAATCGGTGATCGCAGCGCTTGGGCAAAGCACCTTGGCTCAAGGGTTCCAAACCTAGAAAAAGGCTTTGGGTTCCCTGCTTTATAGAAGTCCCCAACAGCAACCTGCAATGCGGGCCTCACACATTTGAAGAGGGTTTCGGGGTATGTTTTGTTGATTACGTATCTTAAGTACATGGGATATTAGTATTAATGACATCCCCTATCCCTAACATGCTTGATAAAATATTCAGACCCGTATAGTAGGCTGTGTAGTAGATCCTGATAGAAGCCTCAAGCGAACATCCGCGAAGCCGTCAACGAAGTCCTAATAATTTGAAGAAACTCAACAGAAGCCCCAACCCTAAACCCTAACCCACCCGACAGGGTTCTATAGGGTTCTATAGTAGTGCCCCGAGTTCAAACCCAACCCTAACCCTAACACCCTCAACCCTAGAACTCTAAGCGGCAAAATCCCTGTAAAGAGCCCTTGATGCCAGACATTATTCTTTTAGACTTCAGTTTAAGTCAACAAACATGGTTGAAGCAATAACAAGCGCCTTAGCGCCCGATGTGCACGGACAGCCCGCAGGCACTTCGCGCTTATGGGCTCCAGTCCTCGGCATTCAGTGTAGGATTACTTGGAGGATCAAGCGACTTGGTAAGTAGGGCTCCTTAAAGGGTTCCTTCAAAGGGATCTACAAAGGGTTTCTAAAGGGTACTCTGGTATTTGGAGGATCAAGGCACTTGGTAAGTAGGGTTATAAGTACATTATTGGGAGTATAAGTAGAAATAACTGTAGTTACTTTAGTCATAACCCCAATTACTAAGTCCCATGATCCCTTTATGTAGGGGTTCGAGGGTTTAGTCTACTTTAATTTTTTTCTACTTTAAATTTAGGGTTCAGGGTTTAAGTTTTATTATAATCTACTTGAGGTTTAGGGTTCAATGTCTTATGGTTTATGTATTGTTAACAGCAGGACGCACGAATCCTTTTTCATACTTGAGCCATACAGTAGCAACGAGTACTAGCATACAAACAGAGTTAAAACACCCCCCGCGCATTGAAGCGCAGCGGAGGAGGCGAACAACTGTAAGAAAAGAGCTACTGTGTAATGGCAGGTACTCGCTTTGCGAGCCCTTAGAATAAACTGCGATGCGGACTCACTACCTACCCCCTGAGACGATCACTAGAACCGACCCGCCAGGGTGGTGATGCACGGGCGTGGCGATGCAAAAGGATTTGAGAAAGAACCAGCACGCCAGTGCGGTGAATCGCAGAAAACTGACTTTGAAATATGATCGCTGTTGGTCGCGATTCCATGCATCCTTGCACGACACGGTGCCCTCAAGACGCGGAGCACCTTCCGGTGTCGGATGCGACGGACTAGTATGCCCTGTACCATGCTCCATTGGAGTCTTGGCGAAACTCCTCCCAGCCATGCAGGAACCAGGTAATCTGCTCAACCGGATGCTGAACCAAGACCTCCCGGTCGGTGTAAGCGGGAATAACAAAAGGCACTTCGTTGGGCGACAGCTCTTCAAGATAGCGGGCACGGAGGACTCCCCAATACCAAGCATCTGTGCGAGTGCAATTGCGAGGCATTGGTTGGGTTGGATCGAATCCGTTCCCATCCTGGTCAGTCCAGTTCCTCAAGCGGTCAGCTGGGAAGCCTGGGAGAGTGACCGTCAGGTGCCGCTCGAGTTGCTGTTCGATCGCCTCATCACACAGGCGCAGGTGACGCAACCTGTCGTTAGCGGCCTCTTGATAGTCTCGACCCCCACCATATAGTCATGGCGGCGTGGTGAGCGAGTGCGAGCACGCCCTCCGGCGGCTGTGGCAGGTGGCCCTGCAGGGGCGGCAACCGGTGCGGGTGCATCACCAACAGCAAAGCCTCTGACTTCGCCACGGCCGGCAAAGTAGTTGTCCCACTCATCAGCAGTGATGTATTCCTCAGGTGCGCGAACGGCGTCAGCCTTCGGAACAGCTTTTGCAGCAGGTGGGTAAGGCGGCTGCACTGGTCTGTTGGCACTTGGCTTAGGAGGAGGCGGCGTAATGCTTCGGGCAGATGCCGGCCTTGCCTTTGTCTTTGCAGCTTTTGGGACAGAAGTGCTCATCGGACGATCCGTGGAAGATGAAGCTGCACCGCCAGGTGAGCGACCTCGGCTCGGGGGAGCCGGTGGAGGCCGAACACTGGGTGCTGCGGCAGGCAGCGACGCATCAGGACCAGTCCTTCCGGATGGTGTCGGTGGCGGTGGCGGCACACGCATGGCGCCAATGGGAGTGGCACCGTGCCGGACCATTCGGTCTTCCACCTCACGATTAATCCAACCGCGGGTACGCTCAACACTGAACCGCGTACCGCCAAGAAGTTCAAGCATCTGTGACCTGCCCATAGTTCCTAGCGATGCTGGGATCTCCAAGGGAGTCTGCCCGATTCCGACTTGCACAGTAACCCTTTGCTGGTTGCGCTCCTTGTGGGTGAGAGCGTGCTGTGCATTGTTGCGGAGCAAACCGACGAGGTCGGCCATAATCTCAGGGACAGTCCCGGTCACGGGCTGGTACTCGACGCCGTCATGGCGGAGGATTGTGAACGGACGCAGATTGCGAACCTCAGAGGCCAACTGAGTGGCGCGGATCAACACAGCAATTTCAGGGACCAAGTAAAAGCGGTCTTGGAAACAGAAGTAGCAGTGTTTGGCCAGCTCAAGAAAGATGTTCCTCTGGTAATTGTACTCACCGCGAATTATGTCGTCGACGGGAGGGAAAATGAGGGCAGTGCGAGCATCGGACGTGTGAGATCCGGCAAAGCCCCTCTTTGCCTCCGTCCCCGTTCCCGGGGCGGGAAGTCGCAAACGCGCGAACATCTCGACTTCGTCGAGTGAAGTCACCGTCATCCCCTTCGAAAACACATTGAAGGCGCTGAAGGGTTCGTACTTCAAGTTCTGGCGCAGGGAACCATGTGTCCCTTCTGCTGCTTTCGCCACCATCTTCTTGCACTTCTCCTTGAGTGTCGCAGCGATGCTTTTCTTCACATCGGCCCCCTGACGGGTGTGCTCGTGTGGACGAGTGTTGATAGCTGCTCTTGGTGCCAGATAGTGGAGACTGTGGTTAGCTCCACCTTGCGCGGCTTCCGCCCGCAGATCAGCCAGCTCCGCAATGTGGGAGATGTCGCTCGGATTGAACAACTTTCGCTGGCAGCGGGGGCAATTAAGATAGCCGTCAAGCATCTGAGACCTGCACCTATCATCAGGGCAACGCAGCTTTGGAAAGTGCACATTGAGGCACACTGAGTAGTGCTTGCGCTCCACACGCAACGGGCGCTCGGTGGTCAGCCCGATAGGCGAGAAATAGACCTGGGCATCCAAAGTCCATTCGCACGGAGTTCCCTCCAGCGGACTACCCTGCTCAAAGCAGATGGTACGACCATCGACATGAAACTGCTCAACCTCACGCAAGTGCGAGGGCTTCTGCATGTCCATGAACATACCCAAGAACTCAACCCAGTCCAAATTTTCGTTGTGGATCGGGTAACAGAGATCAACGTAATCCATGTGATGCAATTGGCGTCAGCTTCCGCTGCGCGTTCGATGAGGTCTTGGTTGAAGACCGGCAGGATCTCCTGACGCTTGACATATGCATCACGGGCTTTGGACACCCGAGCTCGCGTGAGCTCGTACGAGCGGTTAAACCATACGGGTTTCCCGGTTCTGCGATCGTAAGCAAACATAAGGTAGCGATTGGACAACCAATCGGGGGTCTGCAGAACATTGTTCTTTGTCAGGAGAATGCGACACCCTTCCAGGCACGCGAGTTGAAGGTCGATAGCGAATTCAACCTCAGCGCCAGGTCGCAGGCCTGCGTTGTTCGGCCTTTCCCACTGAGGGAGGCAAGCCATCATGGTGAAGGCTCTCCCCGTGCTTCCGCCGAGGGTGACACCGCCTGGGATGAGACCGGTACTCACGATATTGCAGAAATTGCTCCAATAGGTCGCATGGTACCCGATCGGATGCATTCTGACCCAGTCATTGTGAATTTGGCCAGTGACTCCCACGGGAGGACGCGTATGCATGGTGGGCCTGTAGTCGTCACACAAAGCATAGCTGTCACTGTGCATATCCACAAGATCAGTCTCGTCAGAGATGAGATCGCGGCAGTGCCCTTGGAACGCACGGATTCCGTGAATCTCAGCGTGGTCGATGAAGTGAAGGACGCGCAATTCAAAGCGTCCATTGTCGTCTTTGTCGTGGTTCCCATATTTAACCACTTCCATGACGTCTTCCGACCGGAGACCGCGCCACTGTTTGCCCAATTGCTCTTTGAAGTGGTCCCATTCGACCTCCCGTGTTGCGGGGTCGAAGGTCATCATGGGCGGTGGCCGCCTTTGTGCCTGTGACTCTGCACTATTCGCGAAGCCGCGAAGGAAAAAGCTCATGGCATTGCTCAATGCCCGCCGCTTGCCATCTGTCATGTAGCGATGGCTTGGGGCAAAATCGGGGATGTCTTCATAGCCCCACCACTCAAAGAATGGCTCGAAGTCAACAGCAGCGTCTTCCGACGGCTGAGCGGTGTCATCAGGATCCAGGTCCATAACGACATCCTCTTCGTCGTCGGTCTCGACTGGCTCCGAGATTCTCCTGTGCTTGGCAGGATCGGGTTTCGACTTGGGCGTCGACCCGACTTTGCGAAGAGCCTGCGAGTACCTGACTGTGCCTTTCGGGAGTCTGCGGTCATCTTCCAATGCCGGAACCTCGGGGGGTTCGTCCCACACCGTGGGGATGCAGTGGCCTCCTTCTCGATGGCGTCGCCGTCAGGAATAAGCACATTTGTGGTGTTGATGACATCACGTGCCACCGTAAAGGCAAAGTCCTCTTGCGCCTCAGGGTCGATGGCGACAAGGTCGAGGGGCAGCTCTGACCCGACATCACGGCTGAACAGAACGTGTTCAACCTGGGTCACCTCTTCAGAGCCTTCCGGCTTGAGATCAAGATCATCGACCGGCTCAGGCATCATCATCAGAAGAGGGTGATCGAGAACGATCTGCTCATCCTCTTCCCTGGCTTCCGCCGGGAGCTCGGGTGCGCGGTCCAGCGGCTCAAGGATGCGCTGGCTTGCAGGCGGCACCGTGAGCGTCTTCTCGGCCTTCCCAAGCTCGAAGTGATTGCGGAATACAATACTTCTCTGATTGGCGACGAACTCAGCCTTCCGGCGAGTGATGATTCGGTCGGTGGAAACGGCTCTGATGAGAGCATGCCACCACTGCAAGGATGCAGTCACATTCGGGTCGGTGACCTCGATGTGGAACCCATCAGGACGAGTGGTCCTCATCAGGAGGCTTGATGGATCAACGACGCTAATGCCTGCGCTCAGCAACTGCCGGGCGTACTTGCCCATCTCTTCATCATACTCGCTGGGCAGGTTGTAAAAACGACCGTTGTCATCTCCCAAGAGAACCGTCAGGCCTCTGACACGAGTGTGCTTCCGCAGCTCGACGAGGCGGCGGACGCTCTTCTCGACCATCAGCCGCTGTTTTGCGGGCCAATGCTCGATCTCGTCCAGCTCACGCTGCGGCCTCTTGACCCACTGGCTCGTCAAGTGCCAAGTGTAGCCAAGGTAA